TCTCCCGGGCCCGGGTTTTTTTTTCCCCAAGGGGAAGCCCCCGGGGGGTTTTTGCCGGTCCCCCTGAGGGGGGGGCCCCCCCCCCTTAGGGGGTTTCGGCTTTTTGTCTTTTCTCCCTTGGGGGGGGGGGCCGCCCCGGTGGGCTTTTTTTTTTTTTTGGGGGTTTTCCCTCCCGGAGCCGTTTTTAACCCTTGTGTTCCCCCCCGGGGGGGGGTGGCCCTTTTTTCCCCCCCGGGGGGGGTTCTCCCCCCTTGGCGGGGGGGGGGTTTTTTGGGGGGGGGGGGGGGGGGGGGGGGTATCGTGCGTCAAGTTGGCGGTATGTTCCCGACAGCAAGCACCCGCCATCAACATCAGCAGCACAGTACTGCTGTACCAGAATATCACGACGAGATGTTGCCGCTATTCAGAGGGCAGGTCTCTAAACCGAACAAATTATTATGGAAACCGGGCTGGGGCGGTGCCACGTGATTTGGTGGTCGCTAGACAGGGCATACAATTGTACCGTAAATGGCACCAGATAACACACCCAAATCTCGATTTCTCAACAGCAGAAAGAGTCACAGCGCCGAAAACGGTGGCGTTGAAGCTGTCCCGTCTAGACCTTTCCGAAAATGTATTGTTTCATTTATGCATCCTCTTCGTCGTGGCGTCATCGAGCTTTGAAAATTGGTCCAGGGTGTGTGTTATCTCGTGTCATACACCGTATGCCGCTTAACAGGGGTTCGCTAAACCGAGACGCTCACTCTGTATGAGTGAGACTATTTGAATGCTCCATTTAGCTTGTACCAAGCGATTTCACCGGCCGTAAACAAGGCAACCGGCCTTAGTTGTGCTGCCTTTGACAGGGACCTCTACCGCACCTTCGTTCCATGCATCCGAAGATTGCCATGCGATGAAACCGGGCACCTCTACTGTCTGCACCTCCGTTGGGCGCATCCAAAAGATTGCTAACCGATGATGCCGGGCATGTTTGAAAGGGTTGACTCTTTGCCTTCGAAGCGTATCGGAACTGCCCATGCTGCACGCACGCGTGGTTTGATATACTTCAGTATTCGACTCAAGATAACATACCCCCTGGACCGAGTTTCAAAGCACGATTTCTCAACAGCAGAGATAGTCACAAGCGCCGAAAACGACGGCGTTGAAGCTGTCTCGCCGAGAGAAAGCTTTCCGAAAATGGGTCGTTTCGTGTGTGCATGTTATTCGTCGTGGCGTAATCGAGCTTTAAACATCGGTCCAAAGGGGGGGGGTGTAATCTCGTGTCGTATATACGGTAGGTTTTTGTTCTTGCTGCCTGACTGAGCACACATGCCGTAGGTGATATGACGTAAGATATCACACCCCCTGGACTGATTTTTCGATCCTCGATTTCTCGGCAGGAAAAAGCAGTGACAGAGTGCCGAAAATGGCGGCATCGGAACCGTCTCGTCGAGTGCTGAAGCTTTGAAAATGGTTCCAGGGGGTGTGTTGTCTTGTGTCGCATACGGTATATCGAGCAAACACCCCTATTTATTGTACCCGTCTACCTCAATTTTTGTTTTTTCGTTTTTCCCACAAGATCCTGTCAGATATAAAATATGCCCCTTAAAAAACCGTTCCCCGTCCATTTTTTTTATAGTACAACGCGTTAGAGACTTGCCTCGAGGTTGCTTTGAGGGTTGGCCACATATTGGATCGCGAATGACGACGCCCCGTCCCTGTGGTTGTCTTGTCGAAGTTTTATTTATGAAAAATAATTTTTTGTGAGTACTCAAAGATCGGTTCGCTGAAAGCAACCTCCCCCCCCCCCCGCCCGCTCTCTTCACTTTGATACCGTCCTTTTTGTGTCTGTTTTTTCTCTCTTCTTTTTTTTTGTGCGAGTTCAGGGCGAACACAACTAAACCGACCGTACGCTGTTTTGTGCTTAACCCTTTTGAGTCTTCAGGCGTTCTCAGTGATCATTGATTGATCATTTGCAAATGCTGGTGTAGTGGCAAGTCGTGGAGTTGCTGCCCTGCAGCCCTTCGCGCCGTGTATTGGCAAGTCCATAGGTAGGTGTGTCTAGATTATGAGCACCCGCGCTAACCGGCTTACCAATGAAGAGACTTCAGTGACAGCGGGTAATGTCAAGGTCTCGGGAATGGGAATGGGGCCAATCAATGCCAAATCATGAATCTCTCAACGTATGCACATGTCAATGAACGCGTGTGTGCATACATACATACATACATACATACATATATATGTGTTCTTTCGCAGCACCACACATACACTCGCCCGAACGTAGGAAGCCACTGCTGCAAAGAGCAGAGGGCAGCAAAAGGGAGGGGTATTGCAATCCCTGCCGAAGCCCAGATATCGAGGATATCGTGGTTCCCAACAATTTGAAAATCGTTCCGAAGATCCAGCAGTCATTGTGTCAGCAGCTACAACGAACGCTGCAACAACACTACTACTTCTGCTGTAGACGAGTAAAACATATCAGCAACACATCCACACTCGTAGCGCCACACATACCACCCTCGCCCGAACCTAGGAAACCACGAGGTACAGGTGTGTGCTGGTGGATGTGCTTGTTGTTTGAAAAACACAGGAGCTCTAGAGAGCTGGCAGGGCACATTTCGGGGGGGGGACAGAGAACAGAGAAGTACAGAAGTACAAATACCAGCTATGGGTCTTCACTGATCATTTTGCCCTCTCTGGACTGATCATTTACAATATACCGAAAATAGACTAGTTGAGGCATCTAGACGACTGATCATTTCGAAGTCTACACAGCTAACCTGCCCTACTGACCGCAGCGCGACCACCTACCAACCCTTGTACGACCCTGTCTGTGGCCACCACCCTGTCGCCGGCTTCTCTCATGGCTTACAGGTGGAGATAGCTGTTGCGTGTGCAGAAGTACACTGGTGCATTTCTCTGCACTTCTCTCTCTCCCGCTCGCTCTCGCTCTCATTTTTTTTTTTTTGGCGCAAACAAAAAAATATGACAGTCCAGCCTAGACCAAAAGGGGTTAAGTTGTGGGGCCCACAGGCGGACATGTTCACTGAAAGAAAGAAACCCTCCTCTACTTTCCATCTACCGTCCGTTGTTTTTGTGTTAAGACGGAAACGAGAGAATTGACGAGCAACGAAAAAAAAAAAACAGCAACAAGAAACGGCAATGAAGACAAACAATCATGAAGTTATCTCTCTGTTGTGTGTGTACAGGTTCACTGGAAGACCCCCCATCCCTGTTTTCTGCAGACCCTTTGTTTTTCTTGTGTATTTTGTGTTTGTTTATTTGTGCAGGTTCACTCAAAGACCCCGATCCCTATTTTCTACCGTCCCCTTTTTTTTTCTTCGTTTTTGTTTTTTTCAGGGCGAAGATGGCGGGGAACTGCGTCGCGGCGGAGTCCAAGTCCTTCGTGATCGGCCTGAAGCAGGAGGTTGCGCAGGCAGATGTGAGTCCCCCTCCCTCCCTCGGTGCGCGTGTTGTTGTTGCTCCCTTTGTGCCTGCCACCGACCCAGCTACAGCAGTAGGTGGGCCGGTAAAATGTGGCAACTTGAATAGTGGAACAGCCGACATTGTGACATAGTGACATCAACATCTCTTTTGTCACAATCTCTCAACGCGCATGAACCCGGTATGTCGAACAGTGTCCCTGCTCTGATTAGTGGCATATTCTCCTCTTCCACACATTATGTCGGGCCACCTACTGTACTCTCGCGTGTGTTACTACTTTCTTCGTGCGTGCCATCGACCGTTCGAACTCTGCTTGGAGCACCAATGAGAAAGAAAGACGCATGTCTTTTTTGACGTTTAAATTTTTGCGCGCGGGCGTATTTTTTTTGTGTGTGTGTGTGTGTTTCCTCCTCGATTTGGTGGAATATCCAGATGGCGCTACATGCAGGTCGATTTGTAGACAGCCTCCGCCAGGACATCATCACCCATCTTTGAGATAGAGCGGGGGGTTCGTGTTCCTATCCCCAACCCCTCCCCCCAACCCCACCCCGTAACCCCACCCCGTAACCCCTACTAAAACCAAGATTAGTAGTATCCCCGCGCGGAGTCATGTTGCGGTGAAGAAGCGGCTTGTTTTGTCGAGGGATCTCCCCAGTAACAGCAGTTACACGCTGTGAGTTTAAAAAACCGTTGTTCCAGTATATTGTAGTGGGTTGAACTGTTGTTGTGATCCCACACGCGGCGGTAGGTGTGTCGGAGTGACGTCTGGTCGTGTGCCCGGCAAGTCTACGGCAGAGGCCAAAGAGGTCATCATCGCGTGGGATTTATCGATATCTTGGTTGGATAAATCGGTCGTAGCAGCACGAAGATGAACAAACGACATCGTAGACGCGTGTGCATGGTTTATGTTTTTTGTGAATACTTCGGACGTTAGCCCCAAACAACGAGCACAGCCATCACCTTCTTAATACTGCACGGGAAAATTGTTGTATTTTCATCCCGTCGCCAATGAAAAAGGAAGATCCCTCCCCCCCCCCCCCCCCCCCCCCC